AGCTTGGGAATAATATGAGGCTACAGACTTAAACCCAACATGTATGCACTGTCCACATGACCCTTTTAAACAAAAATACATACTGATTTTATCACATATAATTTATATCTGTAAATCCATATCAACCTATGGTAATGGGAACAATTCAGGCAATAGAATCTAGAGTTAATGATGCCTTTGAAACGCACTTGTCGCTAAGTGTGTTTACCACTGAGTATACAAGATTGAAAGAAGTCATGAAAGCTGCCCTTAAGAACCCAAAACCTATTCATAGCCACATTACTTGTAATAGTCAGATCTTGGAAACAGCCTAGATGGCCCTCAACTGAAGAATGGATAAAGAAAATGTGGTATATTTACACAACGAAGTACTACTAAGCAGTAAGAGACAATGACATCCTAAAATTCTCAGGCAAAGGACAGAACTAGAAAAAAAATCTATCCTAAGTGAGGTAACCCAAAACCAGAAAGACAAATATAGTATATACTCATAAGTGGAAGTGGATACCAGGCATAAAGCAAAAGATACCCAGCCTACAAATCCATAACTCCAGAGAAGCTTGAACCCTCTTCCTGAAACAGATGGAAACAGATGCAGAAATCCACAACTATCCAATGAGCCAACTCCCTGGAGTACAATCAAAGTGAGGGAGGAGTGATAATATGAACAAAAGAGTCAAGACCATGATGGGGAATCCCACAGAATTAGCTGGCCTGAGCTAGTGAGAGATCATTGACTCAGGTCTGACAAATGGGAAACCTGCATAAGACCAAACTAGACTCCCCCTTAATATAGGTGATAATGGTGCAGCTGGGACAATAAATGAGGCCACTGGCAGTGGGTCCAAGACCTAACACTAACGTACAAACTGACTTAGTGGAGACCATTCTATATGGAGAGATACTTTGCTCATCCTAGACATAGGGGTGTGGGGGTGGAGAGGTGCCTTGGTCCTGCCTCAACTAGATGATGGGACAGACTTAGTAGACTTCCTAGGGAAGCCCTTACCCTCTCTGTGGAGCAGATGGGAGGAGTGGGGGAATTGAGGGAGTGGGAACAGGGATTAGAATGTAAAAAATAAATTTAAAAAATTAATTTGGGAGGGCATACAGCAAGGGTGAGGAGTGGATATTAAGAGACTGATAGGTGAGTAGGACTGGGATGCATGTTGTGAAATTTCCAAATAATTATGTTTTAAGAAAAAGGAGAAGGGCAGGGAGGAAAAGTAGAAAGGAAAGACAGAAAAGAAGCGTAGGGGGAAACTTAGGACTCCGCCATTAGCCAAGTGGCGCTCTAGAGACTCATATGGATGTGTGACGAAAGGGTGGAACTGTGCCGCTAACCACACCCACTTTGGGTATGACTAGAGACAGGGTGGTGAACTACACCACTAGCCAGGCCCTCTTTTGGGCGTTGCTAGAGGTGTGTACGGAGGAAGGAATAAAAGACCAAGCCGCAGAGCCTCTCGCCTTCCTTTCTGCTTCTGGTTCGGTAGTGAAAGACTTGACTCATGTGGGCTGCCCGTTCTCTCTTGTAAGCAATTTCTACAATAAACAGTTACCTATACCTTCAACAAGTGTGCCGTATATCATTGCAGCATCAGAGAAGAAAGGCGATGACACACAGGAAGGCAAGGAAGAGGGAAGAAAGAAATCAGGGAAAATAAAATCCCAGGAGGAGCTCCTAATTGCACAGTGAGGCACCTCACACTGTGCGGCTTGACAAAGCATCTTTCTCTTAGGCTTTCTCAGGTTACACACAGTCTGGTATCTAAAAATAAATCTGGGGGTGGGGCTGAAGGTGCAGCTCTGGTATAGTGCTCACCCAGAGTGAGCATGTTTCTGGGTTCTATCCCCAGTACTACAAGAAAGAAAAAGATACAGGTGAGGTTATCTTTCACTCCAACAAAAATTCTTTGGGCGCACAGTAAGTTGCAAGAATGGAACAACAAATTTTAGGTCTAATGCACTATTCTTCCAGGCGGATGATAAGTTTCACTTCAAGGCCTCAGAAAACCGTGGAGGTGCGATTCATCAGTCACCAAGAGTGAATTGATTTAAAATCCTCAACAGGCCCATCCTGACCTCCCCCCTCCACACTCACCACCAGTTCCTCTTTGACCAAAGGTAAAATCTGTAGGTAAACTGAGAAACAGTAGCAGAACATGGAGGCACTTTCTGGCTAAGGACAACTTGGATCCACCATGTCGTAGAGGGCCTGCTGCCCTCACATGATGCTGAGGTAAGAGGGTTACTGAAGTTCAGCCTGGGCAATATAGAGAACTCTTAGGTAAAAAATCAAAACTAGGAAACAAGGATCTGCCCTAAAATGAAGATAAATAAGTTTTTTGGTTCTTTTGGCAAACTGATTAGCTATGAATGAATTTAAGAAAAATATTGCTAAGGGCTGGACAGCTCAGTGTCCTCAGAGCATTTACCTATTGTGTGTAAAGCCCAGGGCTCAATCCTGGCACTTAATGATAATACGATAAGTCGCATCTTCTTGGCTTTCTTAGAGAATGTGTAAACGTATTCATATAAGTTTACGCATTTAAGTCAAACAAGCCCCACTTAAGGATGGGTGTATGAGCCATGGTGTGTGGCCAGGTCCTCAGACCATGAAGGGGCTTCTTCATTTGTTCAGTTGAGACCATGAGCCAACATCCCAGCATGAACTGTGAAGTGGCCTATTGTCTATACAGACGGAGCCAATGCTTGCTCCGTCTATAAATTAAGAATGTAGCTTCAACCATTATTTATGAGTCATGTACCCAAAGGCCCTGGGAACATGCAGAAACAAGGGTCCCTTCAGAGGTGAACACCAGCAGCTAGCACTGTTGTGGATTTCATTAAGGGTGGACAGTATTTGGCTGACCATGCAAATTTCCTAAAGGTTTTCCTATTTTTTCATTGACACCTACGAAAAGGATTTGGGTCCATCAAACTCTTTACACAGACCTAACAAGGAGAATCTTCTAGAAATGTCTCCCTAAGCACTTGGCAAGCCTCTCTCAGGAGCAAAAATTAACTCCAGATAATGTTTATTAACTCTTACAAATTAATCGCTGTATTAGTGGCACTCAGTTGCTAGTGGTGCATGCTTTTCTTGGCCAAGAATTAATCGAGTTTGAGCTCCTTAATAAAACTCGGCTAGGAACAAATTCTTTCTTACACCGTTTACATTTTAAAATGACAGCATGATTTTCTTCTGCGTTCAGAAAGCAAACTTCAGGAAAGAGAATTTCAGCCTCCTGTGGATTAACCCAGGAACCTGGGAACGATGAACAGTGAACTCCTGTCTGAGGAGACCCCCATAGATGACCCCCCACAGATGGGCTATTGGCCTACATATCCAAACTCACTGGGATTCTCTGTTTCAATAGTCATTATGCTTCTATTATATTTACTTAAATGTTATATCCTGGGCTAAGGATGGGGCTAAATTGGTGGAGGGCTTGAAAAGCATGTGCAGGACCCTGGGTTCGATCCCAGCACTGCAATTAAACCAGACATCACGGCACACGCCTCTCCTGTAATCCCAGCATGCCTCAGTAGAAGCAGTGGGAATCTCGAGTTCAAAGCCATCCTTGCACTCATAGCTAATGTGAGGACAGCCTGGGCTACAGCAACCTCTGACTCAAGAAGAAAAATAACTACTTTTTAAAAACTAATTTAAACACAGAAGCCAGAGCTGATGTGAAACACCTGCTGACCACAGGGCACCAAAGAGAGCTGCCTGAGGAGCACAAACACGTCTGGTTCGTTCCAAAGCACATTTTCAAGCTCAGCTGGTTCCAGGACAAACAATGGGCTCAGACTCCCTTTTCTGAAGAGAACACGCCCCTGCTGGATAGCAGGGCCAGAAGCTGAGTATACAAACAGACACTGGACAGATGAGACCTAAAAATAGAACTGTGACAGTCAGCCCTCAGCACCTCATCCAGGAAGCCAGCCCCCTTGTCCCCACAAACAACCCAGGAGCCCAACCTTCGGTCAGCCACACTGAGAATGCTGTCCTGCTACTCCAATGACCAGCTGGGTGGGAAACAGTATTTCTGTAAAGTTAGTTAGCCTCAGATGGCTGGAGCTTGACTAAATTGCTGGAGCAACCTCTAGTTTTGATCCCTTTCTTTTAACTCTGGACCAATGGAAAGGGACAATGGTGCCGGCTTCTAGCTAGCTGCCCCTGCCTTCCCAGGCCAGCAGCCCCTAACCAGGACCCGCAGAAGGTCTCCTCCTTTTGCTTCTTGGAAAGTTCTGGTAGTCCTTGTGACTCCTCCAAACTCAGCCCTGGCAGTTGACTCTTTGCTCTGGCCACCTAAGATGAGCGGCCATTGCCTTTCTTGTTGGGTGGCCCTGGTTTATTTTTCCAGGTGAAACGCTAGTCACGAAGGGGAGTGCATAGGACTGAATGCTAGTCTGGAAAAAAATCCTTTTCTCTGCCGTGTAAAACCACAGAGTAAAAACGTTGCTTGCAGGGATGCCTACTGGATCTGGAAGCTCTCTCCAGCAGGCACACTCAACCCGCACAACACAAAGACACACGTGACTCCTATAAAATATTGTCTGAATCCGCATGTTTGAGAGGCACAGATACACACACCTATGTTAGAATAGTATAGCCCACATATCCCGACAGTGAGAAATTAAAACAAATTTTTATCAACTGTGCTACAAGAAGACCAAGTCACCCCTCTCTTGTATCTAAAAAAAATTACAAATTATTGTCCAATGAAATACTTTCCATTGAGCATACAGCCAAAAATGTAAGAATAAAAATATCCCAGAGATGTGTCAAGTAGTTAATTAACAAAAAATGTTGTGCTTTTCTTTTAGATGTTTGTGGTATTTGTGCTTCTTTCTTGCGAAACCTGGTTTATTTGCTTAGACTAAATAATATTCACTTACATTTGTGGCTGTAACTTTTTTCTTAAAGAGAAACATCCTCCAGCACCAAAAAACCCAAACCAAAACAACAACAAAAAACCAGCTCCTACAACCTAGTCCTGGAGTCTTCTTTGCTTAAGATTCCCCAAACTGGAGGTACAGACCATTAACATAAGCTGGTTGAAGGAGGCTCCAGCTCCTGTCTTAGTAGTGAGACCCCCTGAGAACCTCTCCTGTCCCGAGTGACGGAAGATAAAGGGACATCTCCCAGGAATTACTCTGCTGCTTCTGTCCTCCTTGGAGGCTCATGGCCTGGAAGTCTGTGGCTTCATGCCTCCATCTTCACTCAGGAACAGGAGAGGCTGGGGAAGAAGAATGGAACAAGGGGAAAGGTCTGAACTCTGGTCCATTGGTGGTGGGATCCTAAGCACTGCTATCTAGCCTCCCCGAGACATAATATGCTCACAAGTTTCCAGCATAGGCCTGGAGACGATGTTTGCTCCTATCTGCTTGATCCTCCCTCTCCTGGGTCCTTTTAGTTCTGTGAGTGGAAAGGAAAAGGGGAACAGGAAGGACTGTCCCCTCCCCATAGCTGCTACCTGCCGTGCCGTGCCAACTCTGCCATCTTAACTGCACTACTCAAAGCTGACCAGAGAAATGCAGCTGATGGGGTACTTACCCAGGTAGGGTGACTTCTAATTTCCTCCCTGTGGCATGATGGAACACTCTGACAGACACGACTTAAGGGGGAAATGGGTTTTCTTGGCTTATACTTCCACAAGGCCCATGGTCGAGAGAGTTCAGGGCAGAAACTGTGCTTGCTGCTAGCCTCCGCATGCATGCTCAGATAGAGTTCTTATATCAGAAGCTGCCTATGGATGGTGTGGCTCACAGTCGGCCCAACCCCCAACACCAGTTAGCAATCAAGAAAATGCCTCACAGGCCAACCTGATCAAGGCAACGTCTCAACTGAGACTCCCTTCCAGGTGTGTCTAGCTGAGTCAATTTGACAGTTAAAGAGACCTAGTACAGAATGGAGAGAAATTACTAGCATCAACTTACACAATTGCAGAGGATAGGCACTCTATACCTACAGTTAGCTAACTGGAGACCCCAGAAAGTAGAAGATTCTGGTCCACTCATGGGACCAGGGAAGCTTAATGTGTGAGGACTAAATGTATAAAATCCCAGGAAAACACATACATTGAAACTCAGGTCTCCAGTAGGATAGTACTAACAAAATGGGGCTTTGGGGATACAACGGAGAACAGGTGAAGCCAAAGAGGTGAATCCCCAACAATGCAGCTGGAGTTCTTATAAGAAGAGAAAGGCTAGATCTTGCTCTATTTGCCATGTGAGGCTACATCCAGAAGGAGGATGTCCATAAGCCAGCCACAAGTCTTAAACACCGAAGCTGCCAGCCCCTTGTCCTGGAGTGTCTAGTGTCTAGAACTATGAATGACATGTTTCGTATTTAGGCCATCCACTGTGTTATTTTTGCCACTGTATCCCAAATACACAAAGGCATCAGAAAACCAGCAGGTGAGGAGACTCAAGAAGAGCCAAGACTTCAGTCCAAATCCAAAAGCCAGACAAGACCAGTGACCCACCCAGAACCATGTTCTGCCACATGTCTAGGCAGCCCAGCTCCAAGCAAGCTGATGGGGAACTGGTCTCTGATGTCTCTTGTAAGGACAAGAATGAAATCAAGAAGACCTCAAGACCTCAGATGAAACTAGCAATCTCCCCTGGGCACCACATTGAAGCACTATCACACGAGGGAGTTGGGCTTCAGCACAGTACTTTGCAGAGGACACAGTTGAGCCCTTGAGTAAAGCAATGGATGAGTGAGCTTAAGAAAGATGTGGGTAATCTAGATTTTAATTGCTCTCTGAGAGAACACTAGGACTGTAGGTATGGGCTAAGGAGTACCAAAGATTCATGCAAAGTCTACTACAAATATATGAAACCCCTGTAGGCAATTAAAAGATGGTCATATTGTATACATGAATATACGAGTATGAAGTGGCTAGTAGTTACCGTTTACAGAAAATTATATATATAACTTTATATTGATTAATATAAATATATATACCTATCAAGGCAACATTTCATAGAACTCAACAGGATTCAAATTAATTCACTTCACTGATTTTTGTTTGCTACCACTGCCTCCTGAATTTCACATGGACTATTAGCCTGAACGCAAACACTGATCAGGTAGGCTTTGACCGCAGCCTGAGAGCTTGCGCCTGAGGCCAGCTGCTAGATGGTGTCAAGATGCTGGTCCTCAGAGGATCCACTCTGAGCAGCAAGTATACAGTGGGAGCACGAGATGCCTAGGCCGATCATGAGAGTCTCAGTGCTCCCCATAAGACTGTAACCATCCCTAAAAAACCTCCTGTGCTCCCTCAGGCAGGCCTTATTTTTTTTGCTGTTGTTCAAATGTTTAAGATTAGAAGAGCCTGGTTGCTTTAAGTCTGTCCATGTGTGGTCTCAAATTCATGACCTTTGTTCTAAGTAGAAGAATAGCCTGCTGTAGTTGGCACAAATATCAGGTCCCGGAAGCGTATCATATCAGGCTCTTAAAATGACTTTTAAAAAGAGATGCTGGTACTGGGGAGATATTGTGCTCAGTAGGGGGCGTGCCACAAAAGCATCATAATCAAAAGTCAGATTCCCCAGCATCCACACATCAGGCCCAGCATCAAATATCTGTAATGGGGAGGCAGAGACGAGCAGATCCCTGGAGCTTGCTGGACAGCAATGTCTAGCTGAATCAGTGAGCTCCAGGGTTAGAGACCCTGTGTCCAAAACAGAAGGTGGAGAGCAACTTGAGAAAGACACCCAAAGTTAACCTCTGGCTCCCACAAGCATGCATACATGTGTATGTACACCTGCAGACGTGCATGTGAGCATGTTCATACACATACACCAGTGAGATACTTGCCTTTAAAACTAACGCCTTTAAAGAGCTAGGGGTGTAAATTAGGGATGGAACATTTGCAAAGTATGCATGAGATCACGGGTTCTAGTCCCAGGACTACAGGACAGAACAGAAGAAAAACAAAACAAAGAAGACCAACAACAATAATAGTTTCTTAGAAAGCAATCGGGTCAAGTAAGACACCAGGTTATTACCAGCAGAGTTAACGGTTAGAGCTGGCTCTGAAACGCTTGCTGTATTGCCCTTCCTTGGAGAAGCCTCAATAGGCAGATCAGCATCCTTCAAGGAGTTCAGGGGTAAGCAGCATCGACCTGGGACCTTGAACTTTCCCTTAGGATGCTACCCCAAGAGCATACTCATCAGGCTAGCTTTCAAAGTGTCAAAAAGCTTTGGGGATCTTTCATTCATAGTAGGCATTTTGACTCTTCACTTCTTTAAGATAATTTGCCCAGGGGTTCTAAATTACAGAGTCAAACTACTTGTCACACCAATAAATTCCCCTTATGCTAACCTGGGCTCTACAGGCAAAGTGGTAGAAAAGTAGGCCAAGTTCACTATGTGTAATTTATTTGGTTTCAAGAAGATAAATCATCACAAGGAGGGATTTATACTGACTGTGTGATTCACACCCACACCCTTGTGCTTGGAAATGTGCTGTTGACAAAGCAAAATAATTAAATAAATCCACCAATAAATAAAATAAAAGCCGAGTGACTGATCTCTACTGTTCTCTCACACCCTGGCTGAAGATGGAGAAGTTCCATGTGATATAGAACCAGTTCCAGATCTCAGGTGTCCCAATCCCCAGGTCTAGGCGAGGTAAACAGTTTTGATGAAGTCCACCTGTAGCGAATCTTTGTCCACCCCGTTGCCTGTGAATATGGTTATCAGCTGCACCCCTGCGCAGCTGTGTGCAGGGAGTCAGTCTCAGAACCAGTTATGTGGAACACCTGAGACTCTCCGAAGGCTCTGGAAACCCCAAGAATGGAATCTGGAATTGAGAACCACAGGGGGCCGGAGGGGCAGTGAAAAGGAGGGGCCTCTTCTAAAAGAGGAGAGTTCCACACGGGCTGAGTTCCAGTTTCTCCTTTATCTCCTTCCAACCCAGACAGAATTCAAGGGCATCCCATGTCCAAATGAGCATCTAATACACACTTCAGTAAGTCCTGCACTTGGTAGCTCATCATGTTTTTGCCCCAGAAGCTCCTAAAAGGAACCAGCACAGTTCCCTACACACAGTAAGAACCCAGCACACAAAGGCACGGAAAGGCTTCCTCTTGGGTTATGAAATAGTTAAAGGAACCCAGAAGAGTCTGTTAGGGTGCAAACTGTGTGCTCCCCTTCAGGGCTATGCTGTCCCTCTTCTGTTCTTCCCTCCACCATATTCTTCCCTTCACAAGGCTGGGCTTCCTTCGAGGCTGTGTACCTGGCCAGGCAGCACAGGTCTCCCACTCAGGGATGCTTCCTGCTTAGCTCAGCTCCCAACACTGCAGTCTGGTTTCCTGATTTGTCGTAAGAAGACAAGAAAATTCAGAAGAATGAAACTTCAGAGAGTGTTTTGAAGGTAGACAGCACAGTAGCCAGTGTGGCATCTGTCTGTCTGTCTCAGAGTCTTTCTGACAGTTGTTAAATGTTCCAGTCCCTGACAATCATCTGAACACAGCTGGCTGCAGAAGCTCAGGCAGGGAAAACCCCACTCTCAAACGACAGGGAACAGTACCCTGAGGACCTCCACCAACCAGAGAGTGTCTTCTGACCACCACAAATGCACACCTAAACCCACATGTGCACCCACACACAGGACTGTATACACACACACACACACACACACACACACACACACACACACACACACACACACACACACCAGGGAGGGAGGAAAGAAAATTGGAAAGCAAGAAGGGAGGGGAGAAAAATAAGATTAATTGATGACCATGCTTTGCACTCCAAAATCCCAGACAGCAAAAAGAACAGACAGGAACTAAAGAAAAAAGCAGCCCTTGTGCTTTAGAGTCTGGATAGCAGCACGACTTTGATGTGAGGGGCAAGGGCTCTTGGTCCTCAAAGGAGAAATCCATTTGCAACAGCTGTGGCCGATGAGGTGGCCAGGCATGGGGCCAGACTCGTTTTAAGGATGAGAGAAACCTAGGCTGCAAACCACAGCCTTCTCTCTCCCGAGGCTTCATCTCCTCCTTGTACCTGCCCGGAGAGGTCAACAGCCTTTGCCACTGTCTCCTGTTGGTTCTGTTTTACAGATCATGAGAAGGGAGAAATCCATGAGGGGTGGATGCGGCTCGTTTTGACCCCAGGGAGACAGCAGCTTCTCATCTTTTTTTGTGTGTGTGTGTGTGTGTGTGTGTGTGTGATGAGAGAGAGAGAGAGAGAGAGAGAGAGAGAGAGAGAGAGAGAGAGAGACACACAGACACACAGACACACAGAGACAGACAGACACAGAGAGAGAGAGAGAGAGAGAGAGGGAGAGAGGGAGGGACAAAGAGAGGGAGGGACAGAGAGGGACAGAGGGAGGGAGGGACAGAGAGGGAGAGGGAGAGAGGGAGGGAGAGAGGGGAAGAGGTGATGTCAGAGCTTCTTTCCCTCCAGCAGCCTTTGCTCCAAATACATTTTATTAGATGTGGGCAAAGCAGAGCGAATTTTCATGTCATTCTTGAGGCTCACCTAATTTTTAATACAGGGAGGTGAATTGAAGGACTTCCTCCGAAGCTGTGGTTGTACACAGATTTCCTGTCCTGGTAGTTCCCTTCCGGGGATGCCTCTTCCTGGAGAAGTTTCTGGACCCAACCTCCTGCTGCTTCCTAGAGAATACAGAAATCTGGTCTCCTGGCTGGTCACCTCCTGAGGCATGCTGGGAAATGGAGAAAACTAAGATACTCCAGCACCCTCCCCCACACAGGACCAGGTATGCTGGTCTCAGTAGGAGGGACATGTAGTGATGTTTATGACTTATTAAAGCTTGTCTGAGGATTCGGAAAGCAAAATCAGCTACAAGCCATAGAAGCCAGGCAGACACCTTTAATCCCAACAGCCAGAAGCTAGGAGGTGGTGGTGGTGGTGGTGGTACACACCTTTAATCCTAGGACTCAGGATTAAGAGAGAGAGGGATCTCTGTGAGTCCAAGGCCAACCAGATCTGCAGAAGAGTGAATCAGTCTAAAAGCTCACACCTTTAAACCCAACATTAGGGAAATATACAAGACAGAAGCAAGGTCTCAGAGAGGCGTTCAACTCCAGTCACACTAAGGAGAGGTGACAGCCTGAGGCCTGGTGAGGGCTGGTGGAGACAGGATCCGCCCATGCAGTCTGAGGGAGAGAGTTAAGAGCTAGTGGTCAGCTGCTTTGCTTCCCCGGTCTTCAGCTTGAACCCCAATATCTGCCACTGGGTCATTTGTTTTTCCTGCTACAGGGACAAGGACAAATAGGCTCTGGGGAAACAAGTCTCTTGTGTGGACGCAGACACGCACTTTCATGCTGAGGTCGTTCGTAGGAACTCGCCAAGAGCTTGGAACAACAGAGAAGAGGGGTAAAGGCCACAAGAAAGAGGCAGGTCAAATGAAGGAATGAAACCAATACGGCGACAACACAGCTCCTTTGTCCCTTTGCCATAGAAGCAAAAGTCAGGGGGCCTCAGTGAAGACGGATGGCATTTGTCAAGCTCTGTGAAATCCCTGTGTTGTCTGTCACACACCATACCTGTGCCATTTGTAATGATACAAGATTGGCATGCAACTGTTATTTAACTGTTAACTCTTCAACAACAAACCTGCTGGAGGTTAGGGGATTACCAGAAACTCAGAGGATACAGAAACTGCAGGGTTATATGGGGCGCCTACAGTTATAGGACCACTGTGGCAGAGCTGCGTACGTGACTCGGGTCCATGCCTTTGTGTGAGGACACCTGTCTCTCCCTTGTGAAGCCCTGCTCCATGCTTCCGTATCTCTTATTACCAGCCTGGAGAGAGGTCCTCGCATACCTGCTCTGGGACAGATGTCTGCCATAGTCCCCTCCTGCCTTCTAGAACTCACAAGTGCAGACCTTGGTGAACGGAACTCTCTGGAAGGACCCCTCTAGCACCCCTTCCTGGCATTGTTCTGTTGTGTGACCAGAAACAAGCAGTTGAGGATACAAACCGGTTAAACAGAGGCCACACCAGACTACCTCCTGAAAAACAGGAGAGAAAGGTCTTCAGTCCTGAGAACTGCTTCCAGACTCATTTTCTTTTCTGAACATCTCTCCCAGAAACCAAGGGATTGGTTCTTGTTTTACAAGTTAGTTTGGGCCAGGTGTTGGTGGTGCACGCCTGTAATTCTAGCACTTGGGAGGCAGAGGCAGGTGGATCTCTGTGAGTTCGAGGCCAGCCTGGTCTACAGAGCCAGTTCCAGGATAGCTTCCAAAACAATACAGAGACACAAAAACAAACAAACAAACAAACAAAAAAAGTCAGTTTGAAGTCACTTGGGTGACTGACATGGAATTAAAGAAAGTGGGACTCCTGTCTTCTTTCAGGGGAATTCGGAAATTTCTCTTGTTGATGAAAAAATGCCATTATTTTCAATGCATCCTGCTGGTTGGAAGCATTTCTCCCGGACTAGCTGTACACATTTCAACACCAACTGCGCTATCTATGGGGACGGGAGCCACGGAAGCACTTCTGAAAATCAGCCAGCCTTCAGGAGATGGAAAGCAGTTTGATTAAACAAAGAAAAAGGAATATGCCAAGCTGCCTCCTAAGCCTGCAGTGCTATTGTCTTCCTAAAGAGATATTCTGCTCTGCCTCTGCCTCCAGACGGCTTTCCCTAGGAAGCTGCGCTGACCGTGAACTTGGAGAGAGATCCACAACTGCGTCTGATTGTTTTCAGTTCTCATAGATTTTGTCAAGACTCCTGACAGAATTCTCCGAAACAGCAACCGGAATTGCTGCATACACAAGACTTTCTCAATGTGCATGCAGACACTCCCAGTACAAGTCCCATTCCGTCCGGTCTGAGTGTTCCCAGGGGAGCTGGTGCCACCACCACAGAGCACCAAAAGAATGGCAGAAACCTGTTCCTGGGAGGGAAGGGTGTCTGTCCCTCAGTTGAGGCCAGGGGTAAGTGCACCCAAGGACAACTGGAGAAATCGGGGAAATTCATGGTAAATTTTGCAGTAAATTCTCTTTTTTCAGATGATTATAATTCACTTAATCCAGCCGTAAAATGATCCTCTGAGTTACACCACTGCAAAACAGCTGGGTCCATTAGGACAAAGGGACAAATGTCTGCTCCTTACAGGGATATAAAGAGAGAGAGAGAGACCCTGAGTCCCTGTTCAGATGCAAGTGCCACCATGCCTCTCTGCCTTCCCCTGCCTGCCTTGGAAAGTCTCTACACTGTGAAGTTCTTCCCTGGAAGGTGGGAATGGGTACCACATGGACAGTGGTGTCCCCTTTCACCAGGCAAATAGTCCTCTAAAGAGCCAGGAGAAACAGCACAGCATTCCAAGGCCACAGGCAAGGATGTTCTTCTCTAAGAGCTTTTTCGTTCAGGTGCTTCTGGCTTCAGTCACTGAAGCAGCTGGGACTCCAGATGATCAGCGGCAACAAAAGAAAAGAAGTGTGTGTGTGTGTGTGTGTGTGTGTGTGTGTGTGTATGCGCGCGCGTGCGTGCGTGTGTAGTCAGACTCACAAGCAACACATTTTTATTAACAGCGCTGTCTTTCCATATGGGTGGAAAATTCTGGGGACAACGATCTAACCCAGAAGGGAACGATAAGGGTGATCCCTCATTACTATTTTGATTTCTACTGACTGGAACTCAGATGGAATGCTTCATAATTGTTGAAGAATTATCACTTGTGGGCCACTGACAGTTTTGCAATGAATGTGTGCTGAAAATGCAAACTTGGCTTTCTATGTAGAAATTTGGGATATCTATTGATGTCCCATGTCCCTAAAGCCTTTATCCTAGGAACCAGATCTTCAGGTTGTTTGTCATGGATGGAAGGATGAGGCTCTTGCGCCATCCTTGACCTTAGATCCATAACTCAAGGACCCTCCCACACCCCACAGAGCACAGATATGTATCTTTCTCTGAGAGTCCCTGGGCCACGGGCTGAGGGTGAGGGCCCTGCTTGCAAGGTGGACTGGAGATAGGATAAGAACTGGAAGCTGGTACCCAGCCATTCCCTGAGCAGCCATTATGGCCTTTGCCCTACAGAGCACACACTCCAATGTCAGATCTCTTGAAGGCAGACTTTACAGTAGAGGCAATGGAGTTAACAGAGAAGCCTTGAACTGAGTGGTTTTTTGAGTTTAAACCCTGCTACTGACCACAGTCCAGGCCCCCTCTATCTGCTCTACCTGCTGACTCTCCTTTCTTTTCTTCTTTCATTTTCCTTCTCTCCCTTTCTTTTTGGTTAAGTTTTTATATGAGCATGGAAAGTTGTGAGTTCCACCACTTCATTTTCAAACATATGTGTCATCATGCTTAGTTCTCACCCGTTCTGCTTCCCCAATGGCCTCCCTTGTGTCCCTGTCACCTACTATCTGACTGCCTTCCTTCTCCCAATTAATTTCTTTCTCTGATTTATTATCACTTATACTTAATTCCTTCCTGTTCTCATCTCCCTTGAGATCTTTCACCTTCTCATTACCCCCTTCTAGCCTCAACACACACACACACACACACACACACCCCATTCTTAAAATAGCTCAGTCAAAAAGAGGTCCTCCAACTGTGATGTTTTGACTTGGAAAGTATTGACTGGCAATAAGGGGGTGACTGCTGGTAGATTCCCTGTGCTCCAAATATGTGTAACACTAACTGGACTTCGTGGGTTACAAGAAACAAGGCATGAAGATGATGTTGGAAGACAGGTATGTTGGGGGATTTTGGAGGGAGAACATTAGGAGTAGATATGGTAGTATTTCCATGTACACATGTATGAAATTCTCAATAATTTTTTTGGTTAACAAAAGAGATGCCATGTGGCAGTGAAGCATGTCATTTACTGAACTGTGTCAACACTCATGTGTGGGATACATTTGTCACCTTTTAGTGTCTTCTTTCCTAAACATATTTGATTGTATTTCTAGAATGTGTCATTTCTTAAAACACCAATCTTTTTTTTCCTGGAGACTTCCTGGACCTTTTAACATTCTCTTTTACAGCCTCAATGTGCAAAGTGATCCCATAGCCTCTGAAACATTATCACTGGGAATTAGGTATTGAGTTCATTTATTCTTCCCTCTTATGAAAGGAAAGCTCCATGTCTGTTGTCCTTCCTCCAGAACCTTCCCTTAAGAATGATTTAAAAATAAAATACAGAGAAAGGAGAAATGCTGAAACATTTTAAATTTTTTCCATTGCAAATTATCATTACTAACAGGCTGCCTGGGCACTGCTCCAGCTGGCCAGTGGCTGCCTTTGAGTGTGTGGGATTGCTAAGCCACATCGCCGGGCAGGGCATGCGCACGGTGCTGGGCTGCGCCTCCGAATGTGGCTTTGGTAGAACCTGCGTCCGGTTTGATGTGTATGTGTGGTTTAATGTTGGTGCTTCAGCAGGGCTCTTGAAAGAGCTAACGGAAAATGACCTAAGATCCGTTCCTGATACATTTGTCATCATCAATCAAACATTACTAGCCCCCAAACGCAACAAGGAACTCCCAGGGTGCCCCTTGAGCAGACAGACAGCTAAGTGGCCATAGGAAGCACTGTCACTGGGATTCTGCAGGGGACTGGGTGGGGGTGGCCACTGTGTTTCTTCTCTCTGAGGCTCCTCCCAGAGATCTGGAAACTTCCCATCCACTACCAGGTCCCTGTCATTCTCCTCAGACCTAATCACTTCTGGGCAAAGCTCACAGGGCACCTAGTGCAAAAATGCGCCACCAGCTCACCCCCCATCAAACAGGCTTCTCTCATACATTACACCCCAACTCATTTCCCCTCCCTCCTCTCCAGCCAGTTCCTCCCTCCCACCTCTCCTCCCCCTCAGTCCACCTTTGTTCTTTCCATTCAGAAAAAAGCAGGCCTCCCAGGGATACCGGAGGCAAACATCACATGACAAGTTACAGTGAGACTAGGTACATACCCTTATATCAAGGCAGGTCTAGGCAACCCAGTAGGAGGAAAGCCGTCCCAAAAGCAGACAAAAGAGTCTAACATTCCCACTGTTAGAAGTCAAGAACACAAGATACACAACCATAGCATGTTTAGAGGACCTAGCTCAGACCCATACAGTCTCTGTGAGCCCTCATGAGTTCTGCTTAGTTGATTCTACGGTCTGTATTCTTGGGTTGTCCTTGAATCCTCTGGCTCCTACAATCCACAGGATTCCCCATTTATTTTTGAGACACTTTATAACCCAGGCTGTCTTCTAAGCTGCCATCCTCCTGCCTCAGCCTTCCTCCTGGCATTATTCTAAGGTTAGTTTTGAGATGAGCACTGGGAGTTTTGTGGGCCTGGAGTACCCATCATAAGAATGTGGTATCTGGATATTAATTCATTAGTAACATTTGTGTTAATTTTGGTAGGTAAAGATTTCTGAAGGTGTTTGCTCATCCACTTAGCTTTGGATATTAGCGTGAGGTCTGACGGGAATGAGAAGGAGAGAAAGAGGGCGAGGGAACGGAACAGTAAACATATACTGTGCATGTGTATCAAACTGAAATGAAGCTGATCCATGCAATACTAGAAAGTGATAAAATCCCCCATGCTCCCTTTGGGCCTAGCTGAGGTGCCACTTCCCTTGTAATAATGCACCAAGGAAATCCTCACCAGATAGAGACCAAAGGCAAGGGACTTGAACTCTTGCACTTTCCTATACTACAAGCCAAGCCAACCTATAGTCTCTGTAAATAACCATTGCCAGCATTTTGCAATAGTGTCAGAGAAAAGACAAAGCGGCTGGTAGCTAAGAGTAGAGCTCTTTCTTTTTGTCATTTCTCCTTCATAAGCCCAAGCAACTTCTGAAACCCAGAGATGGAGCCCTGGGCTGTGTGAGCTCTCTTCCAAGAGTTCTGGCCATCATGGCTGGTGACCAGCAAGGAGGGCTGATGAGAAGAAGAAACCCAACAGGGAGATCATTCATTGGGGCTGCGGGGTGTATGAGGATGATGCAGTGCAGTAATTGGTCTCCCCAATTCCTGGGGTCTTATACGACATTTCTGGGGCTTTGTATAAACTCCAACAATCCCTCTTAATTACAGCCTTTCCTGGTGGCCCAGCGAGTCGTGACTCAGCCAGAGACACGCTGAGTCAGCAGGAAGTGATCTCATTGTCTCTGTGGGAGGTTCCTTCCCTGTCAAGGGGGTGGGAAGGGGCTGGGGGCAGACTCAAAGAAAGGAGATGGGAAAGAAAGCCCTGCTCAGCCAGAAGGAGCTTTTGCGATGGAAGTGGAAATGTTGGGCTCATTCGGAGTGGGAGTGCTGGCCACTTGTGCGAGAAGATAATGTCTGCAGCAATGAAGAAAAAGGCAGTGAGATCCAAGCATCTTTGGTCTCAACGAAGTCTCTTTTATTAAAGAAATTCCAAGCTGCCCTTAAGAGAGTAACTTCCAGGACTGAATTTGACTTGTGTGTTAAAAAACAAAACAAAACAACTTCTCTTTAGTTTCCTGTCTCTAAGGGACTTTTTTCTTCTTTTCCAGAAACATGTTGCTTATTGGATGTTTCATCTCTAATTTTGGAGACCATATGTTGTAGGTATTCTGGGAGAAATCTAGGTTTCAAATACTATATCCATTGTCCCCAGAAGCACATGAAAGGAATAGTGATGGCTTGCTTCATGGACACTGTGATGTCTCAAGGAGAGATATCAGAGAATTGTGTATGGAGCCATGTAATCTTTGTTACAGCCTTCAAAGTACGTATGATTTCAGAGACAGTCTTCTATATGTGATATACAGTGTGTGGTTGTATGTTAGTTCATGTGTGTGTGTGTGCATACATGTGAAGGCCCAAGGTCAACATTGTATGCCTTATCGTAGCTTCACCTTACTTTTAACATGCGTGTGCAGATGTATACATGCCACAGTATGTGTGTGTAGATGAGAGGACATTACATGTGTATGCGGGTAGTACAGATGTACACATGACGCAGCATGTGTGTGGAAATGAGAAGATAGTCTTCGGATACTGTTCCTCATCTTTCCACTTTGTTGAAATAGTCTTTTCACCATGTGTCCTCCTGGCTAGCTTGTCCAGGAGCTTCTGTTGCTTAGATTAACACTGGCTTTAATATAGGACCTGGGGTCTCCAAGACAGATCACTAGTTTGTGCAGCGCAGGTTTCTAACTACTGACCCACCTCCCCAGGCAACTGGCTAAGCTATCTGGCACAGCTACAGAGCCCCACCAGTTTTTTGTCCTCCATCCATGAAGGTGACAGATACAGACACCATGCTGGACTTTTACATGAAGGCCAGCAGTCCAAATTCAGCCCCTGTACTTTAGAGACAAACACTTTCCTGACTGAACTGTCTTCCCAGCCTGTGATGTGAGTATTTTATCCAGGTGAGTCCAGGAGGTAAATTTTGAGTTTCATCTAAAAGTGAATGAGAACTGAGGTTTTATATTTAATTACAAACTCATCAAATTACAAGAGGTTGGGTAAATTTAAGAAATGACACAGAATGCTGGCTACTTTAGCCTGATGACTGTGTAGTCATGACCACATGATCAGTTCACCCCAATACTTCTCCTAGGACATGGTTAATTCCACTTGGAAGCCATTGGAATGGGGAACAAACCCTCTCCCAGTCACAGACCATGGCTTCATCTCTAGAGAAATGGTTTATTCTGTAGACCTCTGACCTGTTATGGATGCTGTGAGGATTGCCAGGGCTACGGTAAGCCAAGTGTCTTCAAACTCACTCATGATTATTGAGTAACCATTGCCCTTTGTCACCATTCTGTCCTTCTAAGCCAAAAGGTACCAATCTAGGCGACAGCTCTGGGTCTGTTGTTCCTCTCAATAAAACCTTGTCCTCTTAAGAAATAAAGCAAGAATGCAGTGAAAGTGACTGCGATGTTACCGAGGAGCCTCCTGGGAGCCTGGCTATGGAAGAGGGAGTTCATAAAAGCCCCAGCGTTCTCTTGCTTCAGCTGCTGTCTCTGACATATGGGAGGCTGTAATTTCACAGGAAGTCAGCGCTTACCTCCTACCAGGTGCCAATATATTTTAAGCAAGGAGATATTACAACTCTGGAGTTATTGAAACCCTGTGTTCTTTCCCTTCAGTTGCTTGAGGGAGACAGGAAAGAGTCACAGTCTTTGAAATCAGCCTGTGACATCACTGAGACTAGCTGTAACCAAGGTGATACAGCTGATGACTCTTGGGAGGGCTGGCGTGGGAGACAGTGACAAACATTTGGGTTGGGGAAGCAGGAGGACAAACCTATCTTTAGGTTTTTGTTATTCAGGTCTATGCTGATTTCCTGAAAACTGCAAAACTCTTGAAACGAATGGATAATTCATGCTCTTGCATTCTAAAAAACCTTTTTAAAAAAAACTTGCTGTTGGGTCGGATAAGATTGCTCAGTGGATAAGTACACTTGTCAAAGAAAGAGGGCCTACGTTCAAATCTTTAGCACCTCTGTAAAAGCTGGGCATGGCTGTTTGTTCTTGTAACCACGGACTTGAGAGACAAAAAGGCAGGTGCCAAGAGTTCATTGGCTGGCCAACCCAATCAAAACCTCAAGTTTCAGGTTCAGCGAGAGACTGTCTCAAGGACTAAGGTAAAATGAGAAGACAACTTAGCATCTTCCTTTGGCTTCACACGTGTTTACATGGTTATTCACACCAAGCTCACAGTTACACACTCACCCTTGCACAATACAAGAGTGCACACGCACAACCATCATCAACAACAAAACCACTGCAGTTTGAATTTGAAATGTACTTGGCATGTTGAAGGCTTGGTTCCCAGTAAAGAAATGTTCAGAGGGGAGTTTGGGGGAAGTGACTGGATCATGAAGGCACTGATCTCAACGTTGGATTAATCCATGATGTGCTAATAATAGGATGAGCTATGAGGGAGTGACAGAAGCTTAGGAGAGCACCTGGGGGGAGGGGGGGAGTAAGTCTTTGGGGATATGACTATGGGGGAGTGACAGAAGCTTAGGAGGGCACCTGGGGGGAGGGGGGAGTCAGTCTTTGGGGATATGACTATGGGGGTTGTATCTTCTTCACAACATCTCCCTTTTTCTCTCTTCTTTTTCTTCCCCCCCTTCCTCTCTCCCCCCCTTTCTTTTGATGTCTGGTAATGTCCTCTGAAACCAAACATTTGTATCCTAGAAAGATGCTCCTTAAGCCTCAGGAAGCGAATAACCCACCGGTTTTATAAAAATATCTGACACTTATGAGATCCACAAGGCCCTTCCCTCCCTAAGGCTATATAAGCAGTGAGGACTTGAGGGCGTGGAAACTCCTGGACCTGTTGAGCCACCTACAAATCATGCAGAGAGGTCACAACTTTTGTGAGCCATCGTCATCCATACTGGGGTGGGCACTTCGGTGATGCTGCTGTCTTTGAGATATTCCTGCTCACGTAAGGAACCCCTCACCCACACTCCTTTAAGTCACCCTTGTAAACTTACTGGTTTGCCAAGTTGGGTTCTGATAGAATCACATCTTCAGTTTGTTGATGGCCTATTATCCATGACTAGTGTTTTTTTCATTTTGTTTTGTTTTTAATGTCCCCCAGGAATTAATGTCACACAGCACCTACCCATCTTCTCTCCTCCCCTTTCTTATTTTCTCCTTCCTCCCCCTTCTTTGTCTTATTCCTTGCTCCCTTTCCTGTCTCCTTCCATCCTCCTCTCTTCCTGGATGTCATCAGCCCTGCCCCACCCACACTGCTGGTCATTGCGCATCTCCTCCAGCAACCTCTGAACTCATGGACCCCAAAATCAATCTCTCTTTCCTTAGCCTCATTTTCTCAGGTGCTTGTCACAGTAGAGGAACCGTAACAAATCCCCCTTGGACGCTGTCTCTTTCTCAACTCTAAGTCTCTCCAGAGGTTGAAAATCAGAAGGAAAATGGCTTGCCTTCTCTCCATGTACCCAATATCAGGTCATTTTAAGTGTCTAATTAATTCAATGAGGACAGCCTATCTTGGAACTGTGTAAAGCATAGCAAGGAAAATGTCATTTACTGTCATAATAGTAACTTGGAGAAGTACCTTGTGTGTGTTCATACACACATACACAATACACATACATACATTCATAATTCATGTATACACATACATTTATGTGCACATATACATATGCATAATGCACATATACATGCATACATTAATGTGCACATATGCATTTACATACATACACACATACATTCATACACACATTCATAATATACATATACATGTGCATATATTGATACACACATACGTACATTTATATGCACATATACATACACATATATACATATATACACTCATACACACACATGTGTGTGAGTGTGTGTGTGTGTGTGTGTGTGTGTGTGTGTGTGTGTGTGTGTGCTCTTCCCTGGGGAGCAGCAGCAATGCCCAGCATCAGCTCTAATCTTATTTTCTGTCCTTTGCGATCAACATATAACTAAGTCCCTTGCCGTCTGGTAGGAATAGTTACCACTGGAACTGACTTGGCTGGATGCACATCTGGAGTCTAGACTTGGTGGCTCTGTGGGCAGGCCTGCTTGCTTCCCAGGGCCCCATCGGCCCCAGGGCTCCATCACCCCCTGCCCCACTCTGTTGACATAGCTGCTCCCCCATGCCCCACCCCGTTTCATCTGTCTACCCAGGATCCCTTCCTGCCTGTCCTGTCTCTGAGATACCCTAGCTCTAGCTGGGCTCTGAGTGACCCCCAGATGACCTTTCCCTACTTCTTCAGGAGCCCTTTGAGCTCAGGGCTCCTCCTTTCAGAGCTGAGGGAGAGAACGAGCTGCCAAAAGGAAAAGCCTTTAGACCAGGCTTCTCGCTCATATCAGAGTGAGTGGATAGCTTCCAGTTGATGATATGATGGCTGATAAATGTTCTGAGCGCCGGAGAGAATGAATTCATGTGGTGGGAAGAACCCAGGCCTGAGAACCTATGATTTGGGTCCTCATTTTTGTTTGCTTTTTTATTTGTTTGTTTGTTGTTTTTCGAGACAGGGTTTCTCTGTATTGTTTTGGAGCCTGTTATATTCAATGGCACACCAGCTGAGTGGCCTGGCCAGTCTCTGAGGTTGCAGCTCATCATGTGAAAATTTCGAAGGTGTAGGTCTCACACATAAGTAAAGTAAAATGTTTCATATCTGCCTCCTTCTTTCTTCACTAGCAGCAGGGATGGGGCGAGTCATGTAAGTGTCCCCACTCTGGTCTCAGTGACATAAAACGTCCACCAAGGAGAGCTCACTTGTGAGTACCAAAGCCCATCTGTTGTTTAGGGGACGTTACCTTTCAGCTCAGCCTCTCACATACATTTTTTTAAGTAGAGTCTTTTCAGCAGAAACCACCAGTGTGAGATTCTATTTTGATACAGTGGTTTTAGCACTTTAAGTGCTTTTCAGTATTTTGTCTTATTCATTATTTATTTTGGTAAAACACATTTCATTTTAGTGAAGATCTCCATTGCTCAAGATCAGTACCCATGTTTTGTTTAGGGTCTGCCCTTAATTTTTTTAAGGGAAAAAATTAATTCTTTGGGGGTTTTGCACAACACATTGATTATATTCACAACCCCAATCAGTTTTCCCCAGATCCATCCCTGGTCTTTTCTACCCACCTAACTCAGTGTTCTTTTGTTTTTGTTTGCATCAGGGTGAATCTGTGCTGCTCATGTATTCCTGGATATGTGACCCTCCCTCATACAGAACACTATCTTTCCCTCCCCCGGCAGCCAACAATGACCGATCACCACTCCACAGCTAGGTACGGGTTTGTGCACATCTGCTCTCCATGCTGGGAGTTGGCCCAACTTGGTTTTATGCAGCTCCTGTGCATACTGTTGCAACTGCCTTGAATTCACACACGCAGCTGCCCTGCTGGGTCTGGGAGACTCTGTTTCCTTGTAGTCATCCACCACCCTGGGCTCTTACACCTTTTTGAATCACTTTTCTGCAGTGATCCCTAAACCTTGAGAGAAAAGGGTGTGGCATGTGTTCCCTGCAGGACTCTGTAGTGTTTCGTTGTCAGCATCCATGCCATTCGTGCAGCTCTGTGGTGATCCCCATCTACTGCAGACGGGAGCTTCTAAGCCCTTACCTTTCTTCTGTTTCATTTAAGTTTTTAAAAAGGAGGTACAGAGAAGGGTTCTTTTCATGGTCCCCTGGGTTTGCTGTTGGGTAAGCAATATTGCATGATGCAAAAGGTTGGCCTCATTGGCGGGGCTTGTTCAGGCTTCAACCTGTCCAGAGTTAACAGCTGGCATTGTTCAAGCCTAGGTGCGAGTCTTTGTCCTATCATCATTACAGCTTCCAAATTGATTTGTAGGTATGCATGAATAAAGGTATGAGTATGTGCAGGTCTGAGTGTGTATGTACATGTATGGATGTGTGCGCATGTGTGCATGAGTGCATAGACATGTCTGTGCACAATCATGAGTGCGTCGCATGTGTATGATCATGTGTAAATGCATGCACATATGAATGGGTGAGTGAGTTCATGTATATACATGCCAAGAGGCCTGTACAAACTGCTACTTGCAGATAGGGGGATATATTTGCCTTAGGTCATAGCATTGACCTCACTGCAGGTTTGACGGGTCTGGCTTTATATGGAACTGTTGTCTCTACTGAGGAGGACAAATTCCAATATTCTCTGATTACACTTTGTCTTTGGATGGAGGTCTTGCTGTGTTAGCAACAGGACCTGATTTTGAGTCATGAGCTGTTCTCCCCAGTAGCTGGTTTCCTCCTGAGACTGATGGACCAGAGCCAGGAATCTGTGGAGATGCTGCCTTACATCAGGCTGGGTCTGTGAGGAGGAGCGGGTTGGTACATGCAATGAGAACATCTTTATTGTCACCAGCAGCGGGAACCTTCTGCAGCCTGCCTGGCCCTACCATGGGTTTTCTTGAAAGGAGGCGAGAAACAAATTTCTAAGCAGCTAGGCCCAGAGATCAACACTTTGAAGCTTAGAAAAGAGTTTACCAGGACCGTTATTTAAAGAGAGGAGCCAAGCAGGTGGTCACATCCCCATTGATGGAGCCTGATGCACCAGTAGCATCTTTGGGCTTCTGTCTTCTCTTTCTGTATTGCATTCCCATTGGTCCTATAAGCAGAGCAACATGGATATTCACTTCAGCTACAGGTCTCACCTTGAGGGTCTTGTTGACACAGTTACTGTCACTGTCACAGCTCCACAAATGTTTAAAAATGATCTTTTGTTTGTTTGTTTGTTTGTTTTGTTTTTCAAGACAGTTTCTCTGTGGCTTTGGAGGCTGTCCTGGAACTAGCTCTTGTAAACCAGTCTGAAAATACTATCATCATCAATACCAGTCATAGGCTGTTCTACGCTGTCCCATGTATATCTAGCTCTGCTGGTGGCTAAGAGAAAGCTGATTCTGTTTGGTAACATTATCCAATTGAAACTAAGCCCTAGGATTCTTCCTGAGGGAGTCCCTCAGCTTCAGAAATATGAATTGGAGGGTGGCATACTGTACACACACACACACACACACACACACACACACACGTATGCACACATGCACATAGACCTCCTCTTGGAGTGAGTGTACTCTTTAGGAATCCCTATAGGAATCTGTTTTCTTGCCAACAGTGAACTGAGGATCCACTTAATACCCCCTTGATCTCATGACATCAGGACACTGGACCAGCTGACGCTTACCATTGACCTTATCATGCATAAACTGCTCCCCAACTAGAGAATGTGATCAACTGTGTTCCAGGTAGAAGAAGTCCAATACCCCTTGTATAGATTGGAAATGTGTTTAGTGGATTTTTAAAAGCATGAATGCTTTAATAAAAGTAGAGATAACGGCAAAAGTTAATTTTGGTTGCTTTATGCATAAAAACTTCACAAAATTTCATAAATATCATGATTTATCTTATTTTTTAAAATGTGTGAGAAACAATAACTTAGTTAAAAATAGAGGGGGCCCTGCAGAGCTGGCTCAGCAGTTAAGTGGGCTGCTTGCCCTCTCAAAGGAGTCACACAGGAGGCTCACAAAGCCTGTAACTCCAGCCCTGCTGGATCCAGAGCCTTTGCTGGTATCTGTGGGTGCCCACACACACACACACACACACACACACACACACACACACACACGTGAACACACACGGACACACAGAGTCACATACACACACAGAGTCACCCAGTCACATACACACAGTCTCTCTCACACACACATACACACAGAGTCACATTCACACACACAATCACATACACACACAGAGTCACACACAAAGTCACATTCACACACACACACACACAGTCACATACACACACAAACAGAAAACCTTCAAAACATTAAAAATGGAAACTCAAGTTTTATCTCAATCAGTTCGAGTCGAACCCAATACTCGTTCCTTTGTGATTTTTTTTCATTATTTCACTGGCACAGTGAACTCTTTTGGAATGTCAGCTGGTTCTAGACCGGCTGCAAACTAATGGAAACAAAGGTTTCTCTGTTTTCTGGGCACTTGATTTGTTCTCTGCAGGGCAGACTGTGCATTGGTGGCTTGTGCTGTGGAAAACATCTGGCAGACGCAGCACAAGGGAGGGGTCATCTCTCTTGACCTACAATCCCAGACGTTGCATCGTTATGGGAAGAGCCTAATGGAGGGGCTTGGCTCATTGCTGGGGAGAGGTACATGGTGGAGACCTTTCAGTGAGTCATCGGCCAGAACCACACTTGGCTGTCATCCTCTAAGGCCTACTCTGGTGTCTACCTCTGCCAGGCAGGCCTTGCCTCTGCAAGGTCCACCACCTCCTAAGAGTTTGTCTCACTGGAGATCAACAATCAGTGTGAACCTGTGAGGGACTATTCAGCTTGAAAACGTAACTTTCTGTCCCAAGGTTTAGCCTTTCTGCATTTTTTCTTTTGCTGGTCTCAAAGTAAAAATTATAATTATGACTTTAGAGGGATTCTTCAGGCCTCCTCTCCCTCTCAATTCTGAATTCTACCCTTATTTGATTTACCTTTCCTTTACTCTGTCCTTTGAATGAATTTGAATTTGCATAAAATCCTTTCAAGTCCAGAGGGAATGCTACTTTAGTGGCATAAGACTATCCTGTCACATGAACTCATGTCCACAAATGTGAACACACATGTTTATTTGTCAGGTAGGGACATGGCTCAGTGGGTAATAGGGCTTGCTCTTCAACCACTAAGAACGGAGCTCACAGGTAGTCATAGCTGTGTCTGTGACTCCAGCGTCAGGAGGTAGAGACAGGTAGATTATGAGAGATCTACACCCATACACAGTCTATCTGAAACAGTGTTTCTAGTTCAACAAGATACTCTGTTACAAGACAATAAGGCAGAGAACAATGGAAGAAGACATCCCACATCCTGCTCTGGCTTCCAAGTGCATGAGTGTAGACACATGGCTATATACCGGGATAAACACACCACGAAAGACTCACTACACATACATCAAACACACCCACCCCAAAATAATGTATTAATTTACTCATGTTTCTTCACTGCTGTTAGGGCAAGAGAGCCAGCTTTTGACAGCTGCCTCTGAACACGCACAGAGGCAGCCATGGACGGTGCTGCCTGTGGGCTCATCTTTTACACTGATGTGTGACCAATGCTCCAAATCACATATTGCCTAGAGAGGGGAGCATTGGCAGGAAGTTCGTGGTGATTATTGATGAGTAGCTGCTTATGTGGGGATGGCTACACATGTTTATATGTATCCTCTCTTTTCAAATAATTATCTCTATTCCAGCTTCACAATGACTTACATTGTTATGGATACAGCCACAGTTTCTACCAGCTTCTGTGTAAGATTAGACACAGGCAGCAGTGGATTGTAGTGCACCTCTCCTTGTGACCATTGGAGCCTCTAGTATACTCTGAGAAATATGTTACTGTTACCCCAGAGTGTCTGAACATTTGCCGTTAGCTTAGGAGCCAGAGAAAATTGTCATTTGTAAGATAGGCTTAGGATGTGTCACCAGAAACAAATCCAGAGGAGAGGGGCTCTTTCGGGACAGTAGCTCTGTGCTGTGGCCCATGCATTATTTGGGACAGGTCCATCTGTGGCACACATACCACTGGAGTTTGGTGAAACAAGAATAAAAGGCCTCCTCCAGCTTTTAAATATCCAAATTCTAGAAAACTGGCCAGATGAAAGAGCTGGTGAGGTAGATGTTCGCAGGGCTCAGAACAGACAGATGGTCAGCAACTCAGAAGCTTTGTGTTAAAAATATGCATTGGCCTGAAGGAGCTAGAGGTCTGCTGCGAGTGGGATGCTATCCCAGGGATTCCTAGGGGTGCATCCTCCAGGGGAGACTCGAAGAGTCCAAGAAAGTGTCTCACAGCCCAGAAACAGCGCATCAAAGAAAGTGAAGATCCTACCACCTCTTCTGAGAGGCAGACAAGATAAATTACTGCTACGGTTATTCAACTGCAGGAAGGACTTCATGCTTCATGAGGAAATGGAAGTAAGAAACTCCTTATGAGGAAGTTTGTAGAGATGGTCACTGCTAATCTTTTATTTTTAGATTTATTTATTTATTTATTCATTTATTTCATACACAATGTTCTGCCTACATGCCAGAAAAGGGCACCAAATTGAATTGTAGATGGTTGTGAGCCACCATGTGGTTTCTGGGAATTGAACTCAGGACCTCTGGAAGAGCAGCCCATGTTCTTAACCTCTGAGCCATCTCTCCTGTCCCAGTCACTGCTAATCTTAATGGGAAAGAAATGGGAGTATTATGGTGGCAATAAAGATACATCAAAGGAAAACTCATGAGAATAAATTCTCTTGCCTGGGTAGACACCTACTGTTTTTGATAGACTGGGAATGCCACTTAGCCAGGCGATCACTCAGTGAAGGCAGGCTCACCTCAAACCATGCTAAAGAGAAAGGCGAAATAATTAGTTCTTTAAGGAGATGAGATGAACCTTCCCCCTAGAATCCCTACCCCCATGACAGTAGATTACCAGCTTCCTAAGACGACCTGCTTTTCTGAATTATTCTGATTCCTACCTTTCTTCTTTCTCTTATATGAGCATATTTTCCTTCATGTTTTAGGTTTTCCCAATGCTTTGGGATCCTTACTGCTTCTAAAGCCTCCTGATCCACCCCGTGTCTGACCTCTAGGCCAGCTCAAGTGGCATGGCTTCATCTCTATTGCACTCTCCTCTGGCCATTTGCTGAAATTTACAGCTTGCCTTCCCTGAATAGGTAAGGGCTTTTTTCTCTCTAATAAAACTGCCCATGAACCTCCATTTCAGTCCATTCTTAAATCCTTCTATTAATAAAACTTAGAACCCTAAAGGGGATCCCAGATAGCCTCTGCATCATCAGGAGATTGTTCCAGGGGAAACTGTGATGTCCTCACAATGCTGTTACTGGGTCATTATGCTATATGCCAGAGTTAAAAGGTTGAACCCACTTACAAGCAGGGTTGCCATGCCCAGGACCCTTACTCTCTTGGCTCCATTCTTTTCCTTTGGGAGTCAGGGTAATCATGGCTATACAGCCGAGTCATTGGTTGAATGATATCTCTGTAGCCACTGTCCCTATACATCCAGGAAGGGAGCATTAAAATGCATGGCCAGGGCAAAGTTTGCCTCCATTTGTCCCATTACAAATAAGATGAGTGTTCCAAGAGTCTGGGCTTGTATTAGTTACGTTTCTGTTGATGTGACCACTGCTTCAGGGAGATCTATTTTAGTTCTTGATTTCACTCCATTCTTAGAGGGTGCAGGAGCATATTGGAGGCTCCTCACACTGTGGTGAGTCAGTAAGCAGAGATGGTGGCAGAAACCACAGGCAAGCTATAAGGTTCAAGGGGAAGCCCCTAATGAGCTGTGTCTATGCAGGCTATACCCCTTAAAGGTTCCACAGCTTCCGAAAGCAGTGCCCCACACTAAGGAATATGAGCATGTGGGGACATTTCAGATTTAACATTCAGAATCTCTGTTGTAATTTGGGCTCCTAGCCTTATGCCCTACAAGGAGCTCCTTTCTGGGAGCTCTCACTCAGTGATGCAATTGTCTGCCCTTTATAATTTAGGTGGACCTCATTGTTTGCCCCTTATAACCTAGGTGCAAACCTCCATAGTACCTGCATTCTGCATGCTTGTAACACAGCATCATGTAGATGATGCAATATTCTGTTGCCAGTTTAAGCATAGTCAAGCTTTTGGACTATGGCTGCAATGACTCTTTGCTTGAGCCTGAGAAAATATTTCCCTAGGTTTCTCTGGTTCTGCAAGGCATCCTTGTGGCTTCTTTTTGGAGTATTTGAAATGTATTTGTAGTTTTGTCCCATGGATCTTGCATGGATAAGACTCCCTCAGTTCCTGAAATGCCCCCACAGACACCATGTTTATTCGTCTAAGACAAATCGTGCAACCTCTTTTTAGCGGTGTTAAAGCCTTAACATTTGAGGCTTCCATATCTGCTCCATTTCAGGCCAGGGTGCCCTCTTCTTTCCTCATCTCAAACTCAACTTTTTGCTTCGTATTCTCACTGTACATCTGGTTAAACAGATCCAGAAACAACCATGCTGCAGTCTGAATGCTACAAGCTCTTGAAATTCCCCCACTCAAACAGCCCATTACATTTCATTCTTAAGTCATATTAACATTTTCACAATGTGACTCAGATGCAGACACCTTTGCCAGAATGAACATGAATGCTGTCTAATCCAATTCCTCACAGAGCCCTTGTTCCTTTGAAACCACAGGAGCCTGACTTGCTCATCCACATTCTTATTTATAGTTTGGTCTTTTGGACTCCAGCCCAAAGCACCCATTAAACTCCACTTACAGATTTCCAGGGCTCT